GTTAGATGGCTCCAGACTAAGCTGTTAGCAGTGTGTGCAGGGCCTCACATGTCATGACTTGTTTTATATCTCTTAATACAGTGACTCAAAGCACACAGAACCAGCAACATTATGTTCTGCTCTTCTGGAATTTGGGTATAAAATGTTAAAATAATGCTAATTATAGTTCTTTATTTGGGATCTAAATTGTTCTAGTCTAATCAGGTTTTAAAATAGGCAGGAAGCTATATTTTAGAAACCAATCCCTATCTTTTTCTTTCTAATAGGCCCTTAAAACAAAACAAAACAAAACTCTGTGGACATGATCTAAAATGATTTAGAATGATGTGTAACAGTTCTGACATGCTGGTTGCACTGCTGAAAATCTCCTTTGTCATTCCCAGCTAGGATGCCATCTATTTGAGCTGGCCTTTTTCTTGTTTGCCTGAATTGAACAGAGTTAGGATTTAGTAGAGCTGTTTGCTGTTTCTCAGCTATCTTAGGAATTTATATTTTCTAACTCTGAAGTGTAATAGGTAGCAGTAAGTTGTTACTAGTCTTAAACATCTAATTTTACCTACAGAAAACTGGAATGATTTTAGGAATGGAGGCATTGTAGTTTGTTTTCCATTCTCTTTTTCTTTGTTCTGGTATCCTCTTCTTTCTTTCCTTCCATCTAGTAAATTCTTCTCAGAATAAGTTTTAAAGGAAATCATTCAGACCCAGATTTATCACCAAAGATTTATGTCCAAAAATGCTCACTATAACAGTATTTATAATAGAAGAATACCTAGAAAAACATCCAGTAGTGAGTACAACCAAGCTATTAGTATATAGTAGATTATTTGTATTTATATTTTCCAGTATATAAGATTATTATATAACAACAGTTTTTGAAGCATAATGACATGAGAAATACTAAATATAAATATAAAATGAATTTTTTATTATGTCGTTCCTTATGAAAGTTTAGATAGGTACCAAAGAAAATGGATAATGTGTATATGTGGTATGAAGCATAGTAAAATGAATACCCATGAACATATCATATAGCTTTAACAGTATGACTAAATAAAGTATGTTCTGTGTTATTCATTTCTATTTATAAAAATGAGAAGTATTTCAAAATATTAACAATTCTTATTTTGGGAGGAAATGTTTTAAGTGATCCTTAGGTTTTGTTTATATGTTTTTGTTTTTGTCTCCTTTCTAGTTGTGTGTATTTGCAAAACCAGCAAGTAGCACTACCATTAGTGAGAGGGCAAAACATTTACACTGGTTTTTGACTCCATCTCATTAGAAAGAAACTTGAAGTGCCTGTCACATATTTCCTCAGTAACAAGCCATAGTCAGATACGTAGAATGGTGTCATCCATCATTTGTAAGCAATACACTGTGACTGAGCACCAGAGATTAGTCTCAGGATTTGTAGATTCCTTCTCATCTGTTTGGTATGGAAATGATGTCTATAATAGGCCTTTTAAAAACCTACTTTTTTTGTGGTTCATGTCTCATAAGTGAGTTCAAGGCCAGCCTGAACTTCATCCTAAGACCTTGCCTCAAAAAACTAAGCAACCAGGGGCCGGAGAGATGGCTCAGTAGAATAATCGCTTGCCTGGCAAGCCCAAGTGTCTTGAGTTCAATCCCCGGTTCCATAAAAAAAAAAAAAAACCAAAACAAAAAACTAACCAGCCAAATTATTACTTATGTACATACAAACGACTTCTCACCTGCCTCATGGCATGCCTGGAGAACTAGGTGAGATAATATTTTCAAAAACACATTATGCTGGGTGTGGTGGCACACTCTTGTGATCCTAGCAATTGGGAGGCTGAGGCAGAAGGATCATTGTAAAGGTGATTCAAAGGGGAGAATTTGTTGGGAGGAAAATCAGGGAGGGGAAAGGTAGATTTGATCTAGGACTTGAGTGACAAAAAGATAGAGACTATTTCAGAAGGAAGGGTAGATCTGGCTGAATGGGACTCAGAAGAAATTTCTTAGTGGTTTAAAATATCAAATTTATTTTGTCAAAGTTCTGGAAGCTTGAAGTCCAGAATCCCATTTTTTCCACGCATGCTGCGCACATAGACCCTGTGTCCCTTATCTCAGGACTCTTCAGGTTGATCAGCCTGCTTGTGTGTAGGTAATCAGTTTCATTGCTCAGCATGAGAAAGGAGCAAAGTTCACAGAAGTCTCTGCCTGTTCTTTTGCTTTCAGTGTTATTGACCCATGGGGTCCAGTAGCCATAGTTCGGCAGGGGTTATGCTATAGTCTGGCTTATTTCAGATTTAAAGCATGTGTTTTGATTAATGTCATTTGGAGTACATTATTTCTTTGATAACCATATTGATAACTGTCGCTGAAAAATTTCTGCTCACGATATGGGATGGATGTCTTTAGGAGATACATAGATATGATGGGCGTTTTAAATGTGTACGCCAGGTGAGGAGAGATCCAGAAGTCACCAAAAAAATGTGCTTTTCCCTCCAGATTTTTTCTTACCAACTTTGTGAAGTAACGTGTTAATATGGGCACACATGGAGTTGAGCCACTCTGTTGTTCCCTGCAGGCTTTCCATAATCCGTGGATGTGGTGAGAAGCCAAGATGTGGTACCACATTCACCTCTGGCTTTGGGAATCTTTTTTTTTTTTTTTTTAATTTTTATTTGTGTGTGTGTGTGTGTATGTGTGTGTGGCCAGCTCAGCCCACCAGGGGGCGGGGCTGGCTGGCATGTGGTGCTGGGGGATTGAACCGC